GCAACCCAGCTCCCGGTTGAGCTGTTGTTCACCATCTTAGCTGTAGAGGGCAGTGTCACTGGCCCCCATGTGGGATCCGAACCAGGGCCCTGCTGCTCAGAGCAGGCGTCCTAAGCCAGCTCTTAACTAATGCGCCACGTGGCCGGCCCGGCAAGTTTATTCTTTTGAGATATTGAATCTAAGGCACTCTTGAAGCTTTTGAATGGAGATGTTTCAAACTTTCAAACAACGAATAAATGCAAATCAAACTAAGAGCTGGCATTTAAGAAACCTGGTGAGCATGGATGGTACATGCAAAATATGGGAAAATTCAGGAAAAAAGACACTCCAAAGTTAGACACCTAGAGTCTTTTTTGTCTATATTGCTTACTTGTTCATTTTAATGTGAATTTGTGTAATGCTTCTATCTGTGTGAGATAAAGATAGTTATAGGGTTATTAATTCATGGTACATTTCATCAATGTAAATGTAGACAGAGTGAAAAAAGATACTTGTGTAATCATATTTAGTGGTTATGTTAGGTGCATCGTGTCTGAGGCAGGCTAACTAAGTTTGCGTCCCATATCTGCTACGCTTAAAGGCTGTGACCCAGGGCAAGTACTGTAAAGTGAGGACAGTAATAGTACTAACTTCACAGGGTGGTAAAATGGTTCTGAGACTCAATTTCCAATATGGGGAGGGAGGGATGTTCCCACACCACACCAAGTAATTTTCCAGATATCAGCTGGGTGTCCTAAATTTCTCCTCAATTCTAACACCATGCACGCAGAGATGGCCTCAGATTCCACAGGTTGAGGGCTAGTCCTACAACACTTCCCCTCGCTCCTCATACCGGCTTCTGATGATGGTCGCAAGCCCAGGTTATATTACTTGTGCTTGTGACCAAATGGCTGTAGTCTGGAGGTTCCAATGATACCTCCAAGCCAACCTCAAGTCCAGGTTACCTGTATTTCTGACCAACTGGCTATAAATCAGAGGTTTCCATGGCTCCCTCCTCAGATGTGATTAATTTACTAGCACAGCTCACAGAACTCTCAGGCACATTTTACTTACTAGATTACCAATTTACTATAAAAGGATATAAACTCAGGAATAGCCATATGGAAGAGATGAATAGGGGAAGGTATGGGGAACGGGCACAGAGCTTCTATGCCCTCTCCAGGCACCTCACTCTCCCAGCACCTCCACGCATTCTCCAACAAGGTAGCTCTCTGAACCTTGTCTTTTTGGGTTTTTATAGAGGTTTCATTTCATAGATGTGATTGATTGGATCATTGGCAGTTGAATTAACCACCAGCCCTTCTCTCTTCCCCAGAGGTCAAGAGGTGGGACTGAAAGTTTCCATCCTTTAATAACAAAATTGGTTCTCCTGGCAACCAAGCTCCCATCCTTAGGTGAGGTCCAAAAGTCACCTCATTAACTTAAAAGATATTATCTTCAGTGCTTTTCTCACTTAGGGGATTCCAAAGATTTTAAGAGCTCTGTGCCAGAAAGGATTTCTTACTACAAATCACAAAATCTCCAGTGGTTGTGAGGATTAAATGAGTGAATGGATGTAAAGAATTAAGAACACTGCCTGGCAGGGTGGAGTGCTGTGTGAGCAATAGTGATTTGAATTATGGTGGTTATTATTTATCCAGTCCTTACCTTATCTCAGGCTCTGGGCACTGCTTTGCATGATTCATCTTATGAAAACTTCAAACAGTCCTATGAGGTGGATACTATCATTTTCACTGTTTTACAGATGAGGAAAGTGAAGCACACAGGCTATAAGGTACAATGTACACATTTATTCAGCAAGTAAGGGAACAGGCAGCCCATTTAACCACATTTGTTTGATTCCAAGCATATATTCTCAGGTGCTGTGCTATGTAGCTTTTAGGGCCCATCTTTCACATATTTAATACCATAAATAATAGTTTGGGTAGGTTTGACTCAATTGCATCAATAAAACTTAAATAGCTCTAGTTCACCATCATTTATTGCTTAAGTAGTAACATGATAGGTTAGTTAGTTAATTTACACATGGCATGATCACACTTTTAAAAGTTAGAGGTATCATTGCTTATACATCCTTCAAAGAATTGGGACAGATTAGGACAAAAATGCCCAGATCATCTGTTTACCATGGTCAATGCTCATGTCGTACTCTTCTGAGTTTAATATTAATTCTGTTGGTTAGGAAAATAAAATATAAATGAAATATCAAGGGAAGAAAACAAAACAAGACTGTTAAAACAAAATACATTTTAGTAAACTGTTAAGTAGCACCTGACGGTAATATAAAATTATACAACTGAAGCCCAGAGAGGCTAAGTGACAAGGTGAAAGTCACAGAGTCAATTCGCAGGGAAGCAGGAGCCTGAACTCTAATTTTGTGACTCCAGTCTAGTGCTCCTTCTACTATTACACAGTCACATGTGTGCACACTCATATGGATAGATGCTTATTTATATATTTCGGTTATCTATACCTATGTTTATATTCATTCTTTTATCAAACTTATTCAAATTATAAATTTGGCATAAAAGCCAAAGTATTAGATAAGACTAGCTTTTAGAGCTCACATTTCTCAATACAAGTGTTAGCTAACCCCCTCGGTCACTTGACTGTGATCTAGTTCTCATAGTTATACTGTCATGCTTACAATGAAAAAATCCTTGTTGATTTATCAACATCACAAAAGTGTTTCTCTGGGAAGCAATATCATCAAACTTTTATTAGATAATTAATATTAATTATAAATTGGGCATGGGACACATTGGGTTGTTTTAGGAAAGACTATTTCCGAAATTATTTGGAAATCAATAAGCTGATTAGACTCAATCTTGAATCATTTAGCAATATCTTTTCAGGAACGCTAAATACACAGCTTGTGGAATCAGCTGATTGAGAACTAAATCCATTTCTCCCCCTACTTCTTTTCTCCGCAGATATGAGGATGAAGGTCATTCTGGGAAAGCTGAACCAGCTCCCCCGAGAGTCATTAAATGGAGTGTCCAGAAGGAAGGTCAGCCGCCCTGCTGTCCGAGAGGAGGGTGGCAGCCGAGAGGAAGCTGCTGCGCCTGCGGCCGGTACTGCCTGTGTCACATCCCACGGGCACACCTGTGCTCTGGGGTCTCCTGCTCAGCAGGTGTACGCACAGGAGGCTGGGAACTGGAAGGAGGCCCAAGAGCAGTTGCTCAGGTACCAGCTGGCAGGCCGGGATCAGCAGCTGCTGCTCTGCGCAGACCTTGGCCGAGAAAGGCAGAAATTGCAGGACCAGAGTCGGTTGGGCAAGGACAATGGCAGCACACGGCTTTCCCAGGAGAAGAAAGCCTCCTGTGGTGCCACCGAAGCATTCTGCCTTCATTCAGTACACCCAGAAGCAGTTCATGAACAGCTGTGACCAAGGGGCTCTGTGGGCATTTGGGCTGAAAGTCAGAATGTTCAAAGCATTTCTGGAAGATGATCAGGGGAGATGAGGCCTGAGTCATTTGGACACTTAGAACGGAGAATATGCACTCTGAATTCTCTTTTCTCAACTTTAAAATGGAAGGCAGTCATATAAATGCTTGTAGATGAAAACAGTGTCTGATATATCTTTTGGATTTATCATGGATCCTAGTCCAATGCCAGGCAAACAATAGGTTTCCAAATATTAGTTAAGTTTTTGCTTGTTTTTTAACTTAAGCCAGTTACCTTTTTGATTTCACCATCTTAATAATGATTTAATACTGATTTATACCAGTAGGGGTTGTTATTTACCTTCCTCTAGGATGACCACCCCCAATGCTTTGGGCTTCTCTTATTAAGGGATTATAAAATGGACTGGTCTGCTACAGTTATTTCTGCAGTGTTGCAGCCAAACATTTCTTTAACTTATAAGAACATTTGCATGATAGGAGAAGATCAGTCAGAACTTAACTTCCAATCACAAGACAACTTCCTGGTGTTTTATAAGCTGCTTTTATTTCATGGCATAAATTCAATCATTATTGAGAGCCCACAATAGAGCAAGCATATCAAGTTTGTAACTGATATGTATTGATACATGAAAACTGATATTCTCATAGGCTTTGCTAAGATTTTTAGTTGAAGGACAAACATACAAAAAAAAGTTTGGGGAAAGAAATTGTCCTTGGATCAAAGTTATCTTTCAATAGTTCTTTCTGTTAGTAACTGAGTTAAATTTACAACTGGAATTAAAAACAAAACTGTATTGGGAAAATAGAGTAGCAAATGGTCAAGGGGATTATCAGCTAACTCATTTATCAGAGAACTGCTTTTTAGAGACGATAATTCATAGAGCTGCCCACTGAGGTAGGGAAGAGATTATATCATGTGTAGCCTCTCTAGGCTGTTCTACAAGCTCTAATAGAGACCAGAGTATAAGGTCAATTGGTGTAGATAAGTTGGGTAAGGATGCTAATGGCAGTTTCACCTAATTCATACATTTGCACAGGGTCCATCAGTGTTCAAAGTAAAGGATACTTTAAGCAGCCTGACTGTATCTTTGGCTGTAGATCCAGAAGCCCTTATGCTCCAAGGGAATAAAGTGAAGACAGCAGAGGTAAGGAGACTTTCCATGAAGAACTTGGTCTCAGATTTTTCCCTAAATATAAACCAGGACTTTCCAATGAAAGATTAAGAGGCTATCCTATGTTTGAATTAGAATAGAGGAAGGAGGCACACTCTTCTATTGCAGAATTTTCAGTAACGTTGCCCTGGAATTAGCCCCAAAGATGGTGCTGGCAGAAAGTCATCATAAAGAGCATCAAGGGAAACGTATGTCTCACTTTGCCATGAGTTGACAGTAACTTGCTCAGCCTCCTTTTCGATTTTCTAGGTATCTTATTGGTATCTTAAACCTTAAAGCTGCCCTAAAAGGAGATAGGCAACCTTGTCTTTGACACTGTGTTGGATTCTGAGGGAGATACAATTAGATGTACTTCAAGAGATTTTAATCCAGACTATTTGTGTTTAAGGAGGGCATTGATAGGCAATCTTGCCTATTGAAGCTTACTCTGGATGTACAAAATGGCTGCCTTCAGGGTATATCCTCTTCGTAGATATACTTTGTTTGGACATGAACAGTGTTTAAAACCACAACAATAGAGAAAAATAACTTGAATGGCTTAGGCGGACTATGATTTCTTTAGTTTAATTAGTCCCTGCTAAAACCTGTTCTTTATCTCATTTTTGTAGCTTCCTGGTCTATGCAGTAATTTTGTTTGCAGTTTTTAGTGCATATGATAAGTCCTCAAGAGCTGTAATCTTTTTGTACAAAAACATTTCAGAAGTTATAGCTTTTGAGGATTATAAAATGGTAGCAGTCCTAGCTGAGGATTTGTCTACACATTCTCTCTTTCACTCTGGTGATTTTATTCACCATTTTAAATTCCAACCCAGATTCCTTTCCTGGGTTCTATATCATATATTTAGCAACCTACTGAGAACTTCCACTAGGTTATCCCACAGCTCCTATGACTTAACATGGCCTTACAGCCTACTCCTCTTCAGGCTTTCCCCCACACAATGCACCGCATCCCTGCACTCAGACTTAAATTTAGAAGTCAACCATGACTCTGCATTTTATCTTACCCTTCCCGAAGGATCAGCAACCAGCTCTGTTTTTTCTATTCCTTCTTTACCTTTTTCCCAATCTTTACTATCTTCTTATCCATCCCCCATGTGCAAAAAGACTGACCTTTCAGAAAGAAAATTGAGCCTATCCCTCTGTTCAGGAACAATCATAACTAACCTATTCATTCTACCCTCAGCAAAGCCTGGGTTACCTGAAGTCACAATTGAATCTTTGGGCCTGAACAATAGCGGGAAACATCCAGAGTAACGTGCAGGGCTCTAGCATGTGGTGTAGAATTTCAGAATCTGGCCAGAATCCCCCACACCATAGTTAAGCCAGTCTTCTTTTTCCTTCTCAAAATGTGGGAGAATTGGATAAAGAACTCTTGCTTCATTCATGTCTGGAGATGAGAGGATTAGGTAAAGCCACTATAGGCCAACCCTAAACTTATTCAGGCCATTAATATGGGTCACTCAATAAATATTTCCAGCAATCACAACCCTTTATTCAAATAAATAATTAAAAATATCTTCTTCCTGTGTTTTTTTGAAGGAAGAATCTCTTCCTGCCTCTCATTTCTGATTTACTACATATGGTGGACTCCTTTCCCCTAAGATACCAAACAAACTAAAATTCAAGATCGCTGAAAAAAATATTTGTAAAAATTTATGGATGTTAAAATTGAGAAAAAAGGATGAAGAGAGCAGGGTAGTTTCCACCATCTCTTGACTTTTGGGGATTGTGCTCAAGGAAGGTACCAGACTTTGACAAACCTTCATATTTACTCAAACTGAGAGATTGAGCCAATCTGATGAGGGTGATGTCCTGCATCAGACTTGCCCATAATATTGTGCAGAGTGGTTACTGAGTACCAAGAGGCCTTTAGCTCCCTCAGTGCCCAGTCCTTTCAATGATTATTTAGTTGAATGACTTCCTTCTGTCTAGTAGTCTAACTACAAATGTATAAAATTACTATATATTGAAATGTATGCAAACTCTATGCAAAAATAAATGTGAGAAAATTGAATGTAAATCACATGCAAATATTATTCAATCAAGATTCTATAAAATTGTATATGTCAATAACAGTAAAGTATTTTAATTAATTCTGTGATTTAGAATTCATGCATTTATTCCACATTTTGACTCCATAATTTATAATGTATCAATGCCAATTTTGAAAAAGCTAAAAGCAGAATGAATTATTCTATAGAGTATAAAACAGTTGATTTCAAACTACACTACAGCACTGTGACTAATTACAGATATATTTGAGAGACAAATCACGTTTCCAGAATGTAACTTTTTAAAAAAAAGAAAGATAAAACATTTTTATAAACTTCAATGAGATTTAAGTAATAGAATGCAGAACTTTTTCTGTTTACAAATATTCATCTAGCATTTGTTATTTTTAGACCTCAAAAAAGACTGGGGATTTCTTTACTTGGAACAATTCAAGAAAAAAGTAGATTTTTGCCTATCAATCTGGTCTGTTTTAAGACAGAAGATACATTTAATGCATTTGTAGGACTTTCTAGAATTTACAGGGATTTGAAGAGTTGATCATTTCTACATTCTCTTATTCCAGTCTCAGAATGATGGTTCATTTATTATTATCACCATATACTTTATTTCAAAGTTAGTAGCAATAACAAAAGGAAAGAAAGTCAATTTCCTTTTGATGAGTGTGGACACCACATCTTATGATGAACAGTCAGTTGCCAGTGATCCAAAGCAAAATTGCAAATTTGTTTGGACTACATCTGCTTGTTTAAATTTTTTTTCTCAATTTAATGGTACAGAGATTTAGCAAGATGAGTGATGTAGAACATTATTCAAAATATACTGTTAGGCTAAAAAAATAAAGCATATTGCAAAACAATGTATATAATATGCTTTGGCCTATAGTTTGTATGTACAATAGAAAATTATAGAGAGATAACCAATATATTTTTGAAACAATAGTTACCTGTAAGAAATGGAATAGGAAATATGAGTATATTTGCACTTCAAATTTTATATATTTTATTTTTGTGTTTCAATATTCTTATAAATACACATTACTATTAAAACAAATTTTAAAATATTACCTCCAAGTTATGATTGACCAAAGTTTAGCAATCTCTTTAGATCTCAGCCAGGGATAGGAAATGCTTATAAGAAATGCTCTCAGTCCTCACAGGTAGACTAAGATAAATATACAGGAGAAGGAAATAAAAGTATAGAGAAGAAAATGAATGGACCAGAAAGAGAGACCAAAGAGGAATAAAAGGAACAGTAAAGGAAGTCTCTAAGCAAAGAAAGGAACATTCCATGGTGGACAGAAGTCAGAGTGTGACCATATCTGCTTTCTTCTCACAGTGTCCCTAGGGCCCCACTATGTAAAGGGTCTATAAGAAAACTTGTGTATGGCTATGGGCTCAGCATCTCTCAATAAGATCCAAATGTAAAACAACCTCCTTTCCATCATATGGAGGAAATACTGGAGAAACAGATGCTCATCTTAAGTCAAGAGTAGATCTGACACAATTCCCATAGACTGAGAAGTGCCCACAGGGTAGCACCCCTCTCTTCCCCAGATTAGTGACACCAGTGTACTTCTTTCAGCCCAGCTCCACAAGAACTTATTTTAAACCCACACCAGGAGGTATCAGAACCCAGAACACAAGTTGCTGATTGTTGGTGGCAGCTATCACAGTACACTTACTAAGCAGGTTCCAGAGACTCAAACTCTTGTGATGATAAAGCCTTAAGTCAAGAGACTGTGAAATTCAAGTTGCAAATGATGGGTGTAGACTGAGAAATTAGGTGCTATGAAATTTTCTTAAATTTAGGGACTAATAAGTAATCCTGTGTGCTTATCTACAGTTTTGACATGTCCAGAAGTGCTGTAAATTGGGCTATAATTCTAGTAATACCAAATTTTCTCAGAATTTCTTTCTACATATCTTCATTCTATTCATAAGAAGCCACTGCCTCAATTATCACTTTTCTTTCCAAAATCATCAGTCTTTCCCCACCTATTATTTTCATGACTGTCAAATATGGTTTAGTAGCTGCCACTCAACAACAAAAAAAGCAAGCATTCTTTTTTTTTTTTTTTTTTTAGCTGAGCCATCCTGCTACCTATTGGCAGCTTAGCAGCAGCTCAGCTTGGGCCCGGCATCGAACTGCTGTTGCTCAGAGCTCAAACTCTTGAGCGAGCTCTTAATCAACTGAGCTACTCGGTCAGCCCCAAAAGCAAGCATTCTTTGATTCTATAAGCCCCTTCAGATCTCTACCCATTTTTCTACTCCCAATTCCAACAAAATTGTTTGAAGGACTTTTGTGCACACATTTCACTGCATTTCAGTACTTCCTAGGTTTTCATTCCCTCTTCCAGGCACTCCAGTATGCTTTCTGACCCATCCACAGAACAGAGACTGCTCTTGCAATCATCAGTGACTTCCATATTTCCAATTCTAGAGAACAATTCTCTATCTTCATCTTACATGACATCTGGGGAGCATCTAATCCAGACTTCCTCTTCCTTTTCCTTGGACCATTTTCCTCTCTTGGCTTTTGTAATGTCTTCTCTCCTTGATTTCCTCTTATGTCACTGGATACACCTTCTCAATAAGCAGTAAAGTGAAGGAGGAGATCTTGGTTTCTAATGCAAAATCTTGTGAGACCCTAAGAAGAAAATCAGTTGAGCCTTCCCAGTCTTTTAACCTAGAGAACTGAGAGTTAACAAATGGGTGGTATTTTTGTTTGTTTGTTTGTTTGGTTGGTTGGTTGATTGGTTGGTTGATTGGTTGGTTGGTTGGTTGGTTGGTTGGTTGGTTGGTTGGTAGATTGTACCTCTTTATTGAAATGTAACTGACATGTAAAAAGATGTGCATATTTAATGGGCAAGTATCCACCCATGAAGCCATTACCACCATCAAGGCGATAGACATATCCATCACTTCCCAAAGTTTTCTCCCACATTCTTCTTATTACTACTACTACTAGTAGTAGTAGTAGTAGTAGTAGTAGTAGTAGTAGCAATAGTATTAAGAATACCTAATGTAAGATTGACTCTCTTAGAACATTTTAAGTATGCAATACAGTATTGTTAGCTATAGGCATTATGCTGTTATAGTAAATCTTCAGAGCATATTAATGCTGCATAACTGAAACTTTTAGCCTTTGACCAGCGACTCCCCATTTTCTCCCCCCCAACCTCTGGCAATCACCATTCTACTCACCATACTTCTATATATATGACTATTTTAAATTCCACATATAAGTCAGTTCATACATAATTTGTCATTCTATGTCTGACTTATTTCACGTAGATAATGTTCTCCAGGTCCATCCTTGTTGTTGCAAATGGCAGAAATTCCTTCTTTGTAAAAAATGACTAATATTCTGCTTTCAGTATTGTTTTAAGTCACTAAGTTTCTGATAATTTGTTGCTCAGCAATAGAAAATTAATACAGACACTATGGTTTCACTAGGAGGAAAATAATGGGGGTGAGGAGCTCAGTCCTCTCCTGTCTTTGATCCTGTCATTGGATGGATTCTGATGTCTTTTTCTGCTGATATGAATCACTTCCAGTCCTCCATAAACTTAATCTTATTCAATCCATAAGTTCCCCTCTGACAGTATGACTGCCCCCTGTTGGCAGCTGGATCACATCGGTTCCCAGGTGCCTTCCCCAGGTTTCCCACAGGCACACTCGTTCCTTGCAGTATAGAGGCGTCCAGCTCTCAGGTCCTCCAGCCACAATAAATTTGTTTCCATTACTGGAACCACAGATGAAACAATCCAAATTGCTCTTTATTTCCCTCTCTGTCTTCTGTCTTCTCATTTCCCAGTCTGTTTCCCCAACTAGATTCTGACACAATTTTTTGCAGTATTCCCATCAGTTCCATGAGTGACAGGAGACTGGTGTCAAGTGAGAAAATGAAATGTAAATTTTATTAAACACCCCTTCTCATCTCTGCGTATCAATCCAGATTCCAGCCGAACATAGCATATCAAATCCTGTCTATGCCAGGCCTCGGGGCACACGGAAAATCATTTCTCCTTAATACCATTCCCTTCTAGTAAAATATTTTTCTGTTTGGCAAATGAAAATTTTAAACGCAAACCCTGTTTTAATCCCAATGAAAAGTATATCTTCAAAATGAACATTTGAAGGAGGGAGCAGAAAAGAGAAGAGGGAAGGTTCAGGGGCAAAGGGGAAGGAAAAGGTGATTAGGAAAACAGAATTGTATTTAGCTGTGTCATGTGCAGTGCTGTCTGGTGGCTGTGCAGGGGTGCATATCCACAGAATAAATGGCGACATTCTTTGAAAGCTTGGACCATCAGGACATTCATCTACATGCTGTCCTGTCTCAGAGATAATAAAGATCTTAAATCTGATACACTGCTTTGAAATAGCATTAGAAGAAATATAGACGTTTCATTCTGGGTGTGAATATGTGAACAATTACTGGCTTGTATGGGGTTTTGATAGGGGATGTCTGTGTGTAGAGAACATGTAAATTTGGGGCCCTAAAAGTGTGATTAACTTAAAAATGAAAAAGCACATTTTGCTTGCACATTTGAAGTAAAAATAGAATCAATTAATGAACTGATAATGAACATTGAAAATACCACTACTACTTAAAATACACACCTGTTTATCCATATTCTACTTAATAAATGTAAATAAAAACTGTAAATACTGCTTTATGTTAAAAAAAAACATAATTTATTTAATCTACTTTTTAAAAATTTGCTCATTTTAAGTGGGTAAAACCAATTTGAAATGAGTTTTCAAGAATATATTTGTATTTGGACCACCTGTCCTGATTTGCCTAAGACTGGGGGCGGTTTCCTGGGATATGGACAGTCAAAACCAGGAAATCCCAGAATACTCCAGACAAACCAGGAACATTACTCACCCTAACATATTACCATTATAAATAATATAAAACAGTAATTCCTTACACTTTAGTAAATTATTAGCATTGTAGACTTTGTCTTTGGACAATGGTCTTGAGCTAAATGAATGTATAGCTGTATCTAGATGTGACTTTCTTGGTTTGGTCAAACTTGGCAGACCAAGTTTAGGCTTCCAAAATCTGTGAGAGCACAACTCAAGCATTACTATTGATACCTGAGAAAATAGCATTCTTAACCTCTCTTTCCCTTGACTTGGAGTTAAGCTTAAAAAACATTCTTCCTAAGAAGGCTATAAGCAGTCAAGACAAAGGAACTTGACTTCTGCTATTCAGATACTTAGGAATGTATCTGAACACAACTGATACCACATAAACTAATGTCTTTAGTTAAAAC